AAGATTATAAAGATACACTATTTTAGTGGGTAGTTACTTACCTCATGTTTTGTTCTTGGAATATTTCCCCTAATTTACATATCTACTGTCATGCCGACGCCTGCATGCTAATCGTGAATTTATTTACCCAGAAATCATTGAGCGAACGAACGAATCGCAGGCCGTGACCGCCTAGAAATATTTCTGGAATGTGTACTTGAAAGTGACTTTTGCTTGTGACTTTTAGATGAAAAACATAAATAAACAAACTTTGTGTTTATTCTTAACAACGAAATTGTACTATTTATGAGTTTTACAGGCCGTTTTCTTAGGGAAATTTAAAAAGGTGGCCGCTAACTGGAGATGGTCGCTTAGGACTAGTCTATATCAACAGCCGTGACTTCCGGTCTCGTCAAATTTCCTCGGAAGTCGCGGCTGTTGAAAGAGACTACTTAGGGACAGAACATGATTTTTGTAGGGGGGATGGATAGATTTTAATCGTGCTCGAATTTTTTTTTTTAGTCCTCCAGTACTACGGGAAATTTTTTGTTGCACCAACCTCTTGCACGATATGTTTCTACAGTGTAATTTGTCATTTATGTGCATATGCTATATAAGGGACGGACCATTTGGAGGGGGTGGAAGAGCTGAATATTTCATTTGTTTCTAAAAAAAGTCGGCACTACCCATGCTCGATATTTTTTTACGCCATATTGGTGTTGCATGATATATTTTTTAGGTTGAAGAGCTTGCTCGATATTTTTTGGGGGATTCAACCCACCCCCCCTTACAAAAATCAAATGGACCATCCCTTACGAGAGTACGTCCTTCAAAGAGAGTCAACTGTATTTGTAACGTTGAAGTTTTGATTAAATTTGCACGTGAAAATGCACTTGATAACGGTTAATCTCGCTTCTGATTGGTCAATGAACAATAAACATTCCCGAAATATTTCTAGGCGGTCAAGGTTTTTCGATTCGCACTGTTAGAAATTTACATGGTGTGGGGAAACATGAAAATTTATAAATAGATAAAGACATAAATTTATAGTGCACGAATACATTGAATGCATAAAAATTAACAAAATGAAATAATAATTATCAAAGTTGTTTTAATTAATATTCATTAAAATTCTTAATGTAAAGATATGTATCACAAAAACCACATTATAATCCACTGTTCTCCAATAACACACATTTTATACTATTTATCTGATGAGTACTTCATGTATCACAAAAATTATTTAGTAATAAAATATTATGCTAACTAAGTTATCAAATCTTTTGGAGCACTGTCATTATATTTTTTCTTACATACTATGAGTAGTTATATATGGATGTCCATATGCATGGCTCTAATACCTATAGAAGGCTCTCATGTCCCTATAGAAGGTTCATTAATTATATTATATACAATCTTATGTACATATGCGTGGTTATTCATGCATGCCGTTGCATAAATATCACAAAAATTCAGGTTCACTCAAGCGAATTGGTCTCGTGGCTTAATGGTTAGGTTTAGGGAAAATATTGGGTTAGGCAATGCATAGCGCTGGTTCGAATCTTAGTATTCGTCCTTCAAAAATTTCTTTTTGGTTTAAGTTTAAGTCTTTAAAATTTTCTAAGTTCTTCTCCACATAATTGGGACATCAGAGGCTTCTACGAGCACATCAGCGCCTTCTATGTGCACATCAGCGCTGTACATGCACAACCATATATGGAAGTTGTATGACAAACCCTTCTCATAACTACAGCCCCCTGGTCTGTACCATGCATATATTATACAAGAATTAACTTTACATATCAATTGAATATAAAATATATCTTGTATCTATGCATTTGCATCTTAATGTTTTTGTTGGGATAAGATAGTGAGATACAAATCTTTCCATTTGCTGGAAGAGCCAGGAACAAAAAACTGCCCCCATCCTGAGTGGCAAAGGAGGGGCTACAAGGAAGACAAAAAAGTCATGCAATACTGTTCATATCACATCTCTTCATGTTCCTTGTGCGGTTGAACAAATCTTTCAATTTCCTCCATTGGTTACTCACTAATGGTGTACTGACCAGTGACAATAAACTCTGAGAAAAAGAAATCATAAACAAAAGATCAATTCGAGAGTGAAAATGCAAGCACTGCATTCACTACTTTCAAAAATGGTGGTACTATGGAGAAAGGCAAAGATGTTATCCTTCACATCTAAAATCCCTAAATCGTTAGGACTAAGAGATTGTTCAGGTTTTCATCCTCCTCTTCAATATTGCATAAGATGAAAAGAGAGYGAAAMACTACCTTGCACAATATCACCTAAACCATTTAACTCCATCTCCCGAAGAGCAGCCAAAAGCACTTGTGGTGTTGCTCCTCTTCCTTTCTTCTGCCTCCACCTYGTGAGCATTTGGTATGCTTTATCTTGCGTTCTACGGTACTCGTCATCKATGTTTGATAACTCGTGCGGTTCAACACCAAGYAGCCCTCCAAGTGGCTTCCAGTCCATACTGACACGAGGTGAAATGCTGACCAGAAGCTTATTAAAATTCTCTTCTGCTTGACAATAAAAAATAAAATCAAGTTAGAAAATGCTACCAGAAGTGGATCTAGGGGTTGTACATCKAGAGGCAAATGTATGCAGCTTCATTTATGGCCAACTGAGACCCCTTACAAATTTACACAACTGGGACACCCCCTCCCTGACAAATTTGTACATCAACAATTAAACAATGCTCTATGTTGTCGAACAATTTAAAAGTTATTGAATATTTTAAAATACAAAAAGTATATAATATAAAAAACTTTGATCTTGTGTATCATCAATATTGAAGAAAAGATATTCATGGTTGTAAAAGTATTGTGCTACAAACCTGCATTATCAACATTTTGTGGGTTAATCTGGCGATGAGTTTGAACAGTATTATATGCTGGCTGGCCAGAATCTGYAWGTACCCTTTGWGGTGAGCAAGCTTGCTGTCCAGGGATTCTTCCTGGTAGACCAGAGTCTGTCACCAGCTGTTCTGTAGAATCTGGTATGGATGACTGACCTGGAGCCAAGGTGTCACTCTGTGAATGTTGTTCTGGCTGTGGTGACAGTGGAGGTGGTGATGATAWTGGTGAATGTAATTGCTGCCTGTAAACATTTCCCTGAAGAGAACGTGGTTCTATRGTACTGTCTGAATTGTTTCCTGTAGAATTTACAGCACWGGCCACAAGAYTACCAATTCTTTCTGGTTGAGAAGGAGTGTTTGTCAGTATTTTAATGATAAAGCACCATTCAGACATCAGACAGAACAGACATCATAAGAACATTATATTATTTTTTAGTAAAATGCTTTCTATTGGATATTGGAATAAAAATATAACAATCAGGAAAACATTTGAAGAGAAAATGTTATTATATTAAATAGTAGAGACACTATTGAATATAGCAGATATCAAGTGTAGACAATGTTGTAGGAGATTTTATAATTAATCTACAATATTATACTATAACCTGAACATAATAAGCATAAATTATATCATACAATAATCAATGATGCCATATCATCTACTCTTGTATTTCTAATGATTACTCACCACAGATTTTTTTCCTGTAAACTATGACCGCTATTATGGATATCGATAGTACAACTGCAAAACAAACTACTGGTACAACAATTTTCACAACATCTTTTGTCCTATCTTTAACCTTGTGTACTTTAATGGGTCTGTCCATATCCTCTACTGAAATTTTGCTGCCTGGAATTTCAGTAMCATTYGATGTCTTGGTGCAGTTCTTACTGGTCATCTCAGGACGACAGCTATTAGCACAACCACTATCTMTACAGCACTGACTGCATGGTTTACAGGAGGCTGTTTCATTTGACATATAAAAGCTTTCTTTACATTGCCCTGTGCAGTGGATTTCATCCTTRTCAAAATAACAYTTCCCAGTGGATATTTCATTATCTTTGCATTGCRTACAATTTTTGCACTGGSTAAAGTCATGCTTGTTTGAATATGTTAAACCAGATTTGCAAGGTTGACATTTAACCTTAATTGATGAGGGATGTACGTAACCAGGTTTATGCTCAAAACTGAGACCAAAACCATGAGGACAATTTGGCACCTTCCAACATATGACTTTTCCTTGCTCAGTCCGGATGGCAGCTTCGTCGTAAGAACAAGAGATACTACTTTGAGGTTTTCCAAATGACATTTCCAGATTTATAAGTAAAACTACCTGAAACAACAACACAGGTTAGCTGACAACATATATTGAATTTTTAATACCTCAGGTTATTGAATTCAGAAAATATATTGACCATAATCTGCAATACTAGGCAAGTTTTGTTTTAATAGTTGGCCATTTTGAAATGAACTAGAACTAAGACATCAGATGACCTTATTACCCAGTGATAAAAGGTACAGATGACTTGATGGCTTTGGTTCTAAAAGCCTTTCATCAGTGTTATACTCATCTAAACTTATAAGGGTTTCAAAGCAATTAAAGGCCATGTCTGAAGACGCCTTATTGAAAACCAAGTGCAGACTCATTCATATAAAAAGTTAAGTTACTAGTAATTGGACTTACATGTAACTTACTATCTAAAAGGACGGAGTGTGACTTCATGCAGAGTTTCATGTGAAGTTAGATTATGACATAGCTGTAATTATCTACATATCATAGTTACTTAGTAAATATTATGCTATTACAGTACATATATAAATATTAAGCTTATAAAACTTTCAACCGGTATTAATGAAGACTCACCAATGGAATCATAAGCCTAATTCCCATATTTTATCTTTCATCTGTTTCAGGGATCTATAAATTGGTTCTGTCATAAGAAAATGAAAATAAATAAGTCAAAGTTAACACTTAAAGATAACTGAGTAAAAATAAAAGAATACCACGCACCCTTTCAAAAGCCGATAGCGAAAGTGGGGTCGATGAAAATGTGATGATCAGGCAAATTCCAGTCATTATGCAACTTGAAAAATATGTCACGTATCTAAGCTTACATGACAATAAACTTCAGGAAAATTGAAAATATCAACATTTTAAAAATATTTTAAATTACCTGTAAGCTTAAGTTTACCTTTATTTAGCTTATTAATTTTGTAAAGTAAGCAAGTTTAACATCTTTCCCTTTTCATCATCAGAGAGGTTTTGTACTTAGCTTTAACTGTTGAAGTTTACAAGCTTATTACCCGTCCACAAACCATGAAAAAATGGCTTTAAACATTGCAATCCTATATGGGAAAATGTTTGATATTGGAAAAAATTAGAGGAACACATACTACTGGTTGTAACGAAGAAAATTAATAATACAGAAACCGTAAAAAATAAGCGAATCAATAGAACGCAAAGAAGGTTGGGAAGGAACAGGAAGCCCGACACAAAAAACGGATTAACTCTGTGATGCCAGTAAGATAAAGGGACGTGGTCCACCAGCATCCCTTTCAAGCTTTTGTTTATGTTTGAAAATAGAAATACATCGTAATATAAGCAAAAACKTACTCTTTATTRTTCCTTTATCCTATATGAATGGAGATGCTTTAAGATTCGACCGTTAAACTGATGGATGGAAACGGATTGCTAATGGATATAATTCGAAGTCACCTGAGATTTTCCATATATGAAAAATCGCATTAAATGCTAGTGGACCATGTCCCTTTAGTTGAAATATCGGTTTTAAGGTGGCTTCCTACAGTTGTTTTTCGACCATACATCTCATTTTATCTTGCTTTTTGAAAATCTTGCTATGCACCGATTTGTTTCATGTTTGGAACACCAAAAGCATTGACCAAAGTTTATTGACAAATATTTCATGGATGTGATTTTTGCATATTACTCGAAATCGAACAGACGAATTTGTTTTTAACTATTCAAAAACGTTATGCAATAGTTTGAAGTTAATGATGATTTCTATTGCTTTTCTGGATCTCATCAATTTTTTGAGATATTTGGCAAAAACGAATTTCGAAAAAATGCAAATTGCGTTGCCTAGGTAACGTTGAAAGAGCTAAATATCATGCCAAACAAAATTTTGGTCAATGCTTTAATACTGGTCCAAACACGTAACAAATAGGTGCAAAGCAAGATTTTCAAAAAGCGAATTTAAAATGAGAGGTATGGTCAAAAAACAACTGAAGGAAGCCACCTTAATATATGTTAAAATTGCTTTAGGATTCTAGTTCTTGCCAATGGTTTTGTGGAGGGGGATTCATTAATGTCAACAGCCTGTTAATGTTCAGCTTAATAATGATTTCCCATCCCTTTCAATGCTTTTCAATGTGGTGTTGCCTGTTTTTGCCACACATGATCATGGTGAATACAAAATAAGCAGATAACAAAAATGAAGTGATTTTTATTAATATATTAAAATTTCTAAGTATGATTCTAAAATTCTGCACTTTATTACACTACTACAACATTGACAGAACAAAAAAAATTAATAAAAAATTATAAACTATGTATAAGTTAGAAAATTCATATAGACTATTTAAATATTATAGATGTGTGATATAAATATGATGAAAGGTCCAGCCATCCATTAACACTACTTMTATTACTTACATCTATTAAGAACTTTCCTAAAGAAAAGGCTTTAATAGGTTCTAAATGGTATAAAACAGCTATTTTCACACCAGTGTATGTATTGGCTATTGTAAGATGCCAGCATCTCCACTAAAAACACTGGATTTTATGTATGCATTTTATGAAAACTTCACTTTCAATAAATATTATAAACCACCTCTAGCAGAAATGCCATTTGCATTCAAATATTTTGATGCAATAAATTTTTCAATGAAGCAAACAATTATATAAAAAATATTTGCCTATTGGACAACAGCTGYACTRACAAAAATTATATCTCAGCTTTCGGTGATCACACAAGAACGACTGCAAGGAAGACTATATACAAGCCATCTTTTATAAAACTTAACATACAAACACAACAATTCACAAAAAAAATACAAAACACAAACACAACAAACCAAGTACCTTAAACACAAAATCAATACACTCACAGAACACAAGATCATCAACCTACTACACAACACCTTCACAACATGACCATCTAGGTTTGTCCAAAACTCACTGCACTATTAAAGTCCATGTGCACCAAAGAATCTTTGTCCAAAACACACTTCAACAAGAGATCATTTTGTAAACCAAAGAAATGATTGCACAGGTTCATGGATGCACGTGGGCCTTTGCTTTACATGAGCTTCTTTTCATTGATATGGCAAAAAAAAAAAAAACACATACCAGTAAGCTGCCATCATAAGAGCAGTATAAATTGTTTCCATTTTGTTACAAAAATTTTTTGCTTATGCTTCTAATTATGATAAATTGTGAGTGTACCATTCATGAGTGTGCTTATTCTTAGGTCATGTATCAGTTAGTATACTATCAGCTAAACCAGCCCGTAAGTCCTCAATTTCTTTAACTTCTTGACGGAAAACCTCTAAATCTGTTTCCTTGTATTTTTGCAGAATACAAGATGTTGGAGAGGATTCATTGCCTARTTGATTAACCTCCATATTYGTCATGCCAAGTCCTGTACCCAATGAACGATAGTCTGTGAAGAATTTGTTTGTTTCATCGAATTTACGACATATCTCAAGCCTTTCCATGAGGGGCATGTCTTTAACTTTTAGGGAATCAGCCACCAACACAACTTGATTATTGACCTGTCTTTGACTTGCAGTTCCATTTTCTTCATTACAACTTTCATCCAATTTTATTGGGACTTCATTTCCTGTCATTAAAAATGGAGAAAATTACTTACAGAATGGAAAGTCCTGGTGTTGATGTCAGGCACTCCTGYTAAAGGGAGCATTGTACATTTGACAATGTGTACAAGATTTTGGACATGCGAGAGATAATGATAAAATCTTGTGTACACTGCAGTACAGTACAGTTTATTGAAGATAATGGAGGCTAAACCTCTTAACAAACAAAGAAGAACTGAAGGGAAAAAAGAAACAGCTGCTCAACATGTAATGACTGGACAAAATTTTAGCTTGACTTGTCAAAGGGCCCTACTGAAAACCGCCTCGGCGAGTAGGCTCCCTGAATAAAAATATTATTGTTATCAAATCTTGTGSTGGAAGGAAAGCAGGCCTACAGTAACATGAACTTCACTGGAGTGTTTGTTCACTCATCTGCAGCTATTATTTACATCAATCTGAAACTAAGGGTAAAGCCATACCTTGTAGTAGGCAATTTACAGCATGATCAGCAGATGAAGCAACCAATGTAGTACTGCTAGGGCAATCTACTTCAGTACTTTCAACAGATGACACATCTAATTTCTTAAATACAGGCTGGGCATCTATGTTATCTATAATAACAAAACAAATATAACAACAAATTATTAGAATATCAAAACACTTAATAATTAATTCAGTAAAAAATGGAAATAGTCATACATAAACTTACCATAATGAATGACAAAGCGATTTGGTCTATTTCCTGGTTGTGTTCTGCGTGCTTTACATGTCAAACAAGCAAAAATAAGTAATGCACAAAGTAGAAACAGAGAGCACAAAATCGCAAGTACAAGTTGCCCAGGCGTTACTGATCCTTTAGTATTTGCATCATCCTTTGGACTGCCATTGTCTCCATGATCACTTGGGATTTTGCCATTAGAAGGACTAGTGCTATTGGTCACAGTACTGTTAGTAATATTATTGCTTTGAGTACCATTAGCATTACTGCCGTGAGTACCATTAGCATTACTAGTGCTGTGAGTCTCATTTGCTGTCAAGGTACAGTTCTTACTGGACAAATCAGGACAGCTACTAGCACAATTGCCAATATCTCTACAGCACTGACTGCATGCGATACAGGATGCATTTGACCAATAAAATCCTTCTTTACATTGCCCTGTGCACTGGATTTCATCCTTGTCATAGTAACACTGCCCTAYTGATMTTTCATTGTCCYTGCACTGTGTACAGTTTTYACACTKGCTATAGTCTTCTATGTCTGAAAATGTTATTCCTGTCTTGCACGACTCACAACCAGTGTTAAATGTTCCCCATTGATACACTTTTCCAGGTACAAACTTAAATTTCAAACCCATCCCAACAGGGCACATTTTTATTAAAGTCCAACAATGTATTCTTGTACTTCCATTTTTTCTATAGGTAACTTGATCATCCCTACATACAGATGGTTTTAGAGGTTTATTAAATGATGATGGCAGGTAGAAAAAGACCTGAAATGATACAGAAATAATACTGATTATAAAACAGTTCTGTCTGCAGCCATGTCAAGCAATTTTTGCTTGCTGGCTCTGCTGGTATAAACTGCTGATCTAGGGGAATGACCTGAAGTGTAGGGAAAATACCCACATACAGAGGGAAGTTATTGTGACTCCAAAAATGAGCCATTCCTATATTGATGCAAGATCAAATAACACTAACCACCTCATTACTCTGCTTAACTAATAATTTTGCTTAAACAAAACAAATTTCTCCAGTCAGCACTTTGCAGGATAAAAGCGTTGTTCTCAACGAAAATTGTACAACATAAAATGATATTTTTATACTCTAAAACAGGAAAAGCATCCAAGCAACTATAGCCATTGCAGCTTTACAAATTCTATGAATTCTGGATATAATAACATTCGCAATTCGGTACACACTCATTTTTGTTGTTGCTCAATCACTTCATAAACTATAGAAATTTGCTTACGTCGTCTAAAAACTCTCTAATGTGGTGCAACAGGCATATAAGACTACGATGGCTGAGAAATTTAAACTGATGAAGAGATCATAAGCGAAACTTAATGAAAAAAAAAACACTCAACTCACCAGAACTAAAAGAGTTTCCATTTTGATGAAGATTTTCTTATGTTTCAGCATGTTCTACAAAAACAGTAAGCTTTTTAAGTCTTAACCTAATATTGTCAAAATCACTAAAATAAGCTTACTAGCATACTTACAAAGTCACGATTGAAAATGGTGAAAAATAGAATGCTATCAAATTGATGAGCTAGGGATTTCGTCGCCTGAGTTTCATCCACCGTTTTCTCGTAAAAGCATAAGGGATTTCGTCAATGAAATGATTTGACATCACGATCAATCACATGCTGAGTACATAAATTAAGGTAAGCTACTACGCAAACTCCACCGATTCCGGAGTTTGCCGCTTGAAATATGTGCAATTTCCCGTCAGAAATACATCTTTCCTTGCTCCTTACTCGATCATCATCGTTAAAGATTGCCAGCTCCAAATGAACTTGCTTGGGGGGTCGCCCTGGCCGGAAAACGTCGTCGTTCATGTTGGAAGATTTTTTCCGCATCGTTTTCCGTCGACTGCAAAGGAAATAAAGATATTCCCATAAATGGAAACAAGAATTTGAACATTACATTTCCGTTGCATTATTGCATTATTTTTGTCAGAGCAACGAAATGAGGAAAGGACCACTCTGGTCCTCAACATTCAAGAGGTTCCAAGAAAAATATTCGGTCCCAGATCCTCTCGCCGAGGATCCTAATGTTTTCAAGTTTACTCGCGCATGCGTGCCATTGACAGTGTCCCTTTAATTAATGGTATTTATATAAAAACCCTGTGAATCGGTTACGTGTATGGGAAAAATGGCTGCAAAGTCAGTATGTAAATATTCAGGGTTTTTTTAGCCACGTGGTTTTTAATGCAGACCTACCGCAAACAGAGGAGGCGATCGATTAGATGAAATCCTATATGGGAAAATGTTTGATATTGGAAAAAATTAGAGGAACACATACTGATTCAGTATTAACCAAGAAAATTACAGAAACCGTAAACAATGGACGAATCAATAAAACGCATTCCTGTCCAGGTCTCCCATGCAAGACGTATATCACAGCAAAGCACGTTGGGAAGTAAACCACAGGCAGCCCTGCAGACTCCCGCAATAAAATTAACTGTGTGATCCCCCAGCAAGTCAAATATCAGTTTTGATACGTTTTGGAATAGATTTAGGACTCTAGTGCTTGCCATTTGTTTTGTTTGAACTTGTTATTTTTTTGTTGCTTTTTTTGGCAGGGGGGGGGAGCTACAGGGGGGGGGGGGGGGGGGGGGGCAAGGGAGGAACTTCTTTGGTTTAGAATTGATGATTTCTCCATTCTGCAGTGCTAATACCGCATTTTAAGTATCCAACTGTAATGGTGTCCGAGTCAATTTCCAGGGGTGCAGATGGGCGAATCACAGGATGGATGTGCCCCACAAGCCTCCAAGCCCTTTCAGTACCAAATTCTTTCAATGTGATGTTGACTGTTTCTGCCCGACACATAATAAATAAATCAGGGTCCATGCAGGTCCTTAAATCCTTGAAAAGTGCTTGAATTGAAAACTTGTTTTCAAGGGCACTTGAAACTCCTCGAAAATTTGAAAATTTCGAAAAAGTCCTTGAAAACTCCTTGAAAAAGATGGATCTCTATCACGAAGCGCCAGCAATCTCTGAAATATTCGGTTTGGCTAAAGTTTTGAGGTAAGAATGTACAATAAACATGATTTTGATGCTCCTTGAAAATACAATTTTGGTCCTGGAAAAAGTCATTGAAAAGACCTTTTAAATTAAATGTAAACTCTGCAGATATTTGAATTAGTTTTTTTTTTTAATAATAGGACGTTTCTTTAGTAAATTATTTAATGTGAGTTTCATTCTTTTTACTAATTAATTAATGCATAGTTATATTTATAAATTTTAATCGTTATCATTATTATTGTAAAATTTAATATTTTAGTATTTTTTTTTAACTTTTTTCTATATTGTAATTTTTAGAATTTTTATATAATTATTATTAATTGTGAAATTATTTATGAATAAAGCAGTTGTTAGTTTCGAATTTAAAAAAAAAAAATTTGAAAAGACCTTAAATTTTGTTTTTGATACTCTGCACGGACCCTGATGAATACAAAATAAGCAGATAACAAAAATGAAGTAATTTTTATTAATATATTAAAATTCCTATAATTCTACAATTCTACACTATTGTTATAGTTCAACACTGAGTGCAGTCATGAACATTTTAATAATTTTAATACACGCAGCCCATAAAAATAGAAAAACATTTACTCTACTTTAAAAAACAATAAACCTCCTATAAGTTAGAAAATTCATAAGCTAGAATATTTAATGATTATATATGTGTAACATAAATATGATGAAAGGTCCAGCCCTCCATTAATGCTACTTATATTACTTACATCTATTAAGAACTTCCCGAAGAAAAGGCTGTAAGAAGTTCTGACTAATATTCTCACACCTGCATGTATTGACTTAAATTGTAAGATGCCAGCATCTCACATAAATACAAAGAACTATCAATGAAACCTTTTCTAAAAAAAGTATTTAAAAGCATTCAAGAAGCCAAAATGGCCAAAATGTCATGAATTCCAATGTTTTCCACTAAAAACACAATGAACAAATCCAATATAAAAAAAATTATTTGCCTATTGGGCAACAGCTGCACTAACAAAAACAATATCTCTGCTTTTTGGTGTTGGGCTTCCAAACCGTTTCCATTTTGTTACATTATTATGCCTTTGCTTCTAATTATGACTGAGCCTCAACTAATGCCACTCACATAAGTCCACTTATTCTTCAAGGTCAAATGTCAATTACATCCCATTATCTACACAGAACTCTAAGTCCTTCGTGAACCAGTACTACTCATAAGTCTACTTATTATAGATCATTTTTCAGTTGGCACCCCCTTAGCTACACAGGACTCTAACCTCTTCTCTATTTCTCTAACTTCTTGGCGGAAATGCTCTAAATCTGTTTCCTTGTACTTTTGCAGAATACACTCTGTAGGTGAAGATTCATGGCATAGTTGATCAACTTCAATGTTCTTCATACCAAGTGATGTTCCCAATGTACGATAGTCTAGGTAGAAACTATCCCTTTGGTTTAGTTTTTGACATATCTTTTCCCTTTCCTTGTGAGGCATATCTTTAACTTTTAAACAAACATCCTCAAACTCAACTTTATTGTTAGTTTCACCCTGATAAATAGTTCCATTTGCTGCATTATAACTTTCATCCAAGTTCATTGGAACTTCATACTCTGTAATTAAAACAAAGAAATTACTGATGAAACTGAAAAGTTCTGGCATTGTCACCAGGCAGATTTAGTCTGAGTATGAGTTCAAAAATGCTTACGACATATCTGAAGCCCTTCTTCAAGGGACATATCCACTTCTTCAACATTTGGCCAAATATTCACCAAGAACCCAACTTGATTCTTGTTAGCTTCACCCTGACAATCAGTTCCATTTTCTGCATTACAACTTTCACCCAAGTTCATTGGAACAGTCCCTGTCATGAAAAAAATAAAAAAAACAATTACATAGAATTGTACTTAAATTGAGACTTTCCCTGAACAAAAGATGTCAAAATGCTGAAGTCAAAAAATAACAGCTCCTCAAGACTATTCCTGTTCAAAATTTTAGTTTGACTAATAATTGTCAAATCTATGACCTCCAAGACTTTCACTAGACATCATTAATGTCCACTCATCTGCCTAAAGGTTTATACATCAATCTGAAAGTTGCTTGAGTGATGTCAGGTAGAAACATACCTTGGAGTGAACCCAATGCCTCAACTTCATCATTGTTAAAGCAGTCTACTTCAATGCTTTCAGCCGATGACAAATGTAATTTAGTAAATCTGGGTAGAACTATGTTATCTATAATCAGAATATCAAAACAATCAATTCAGTGAAAAATGAAAATAGTCATACACAAACTTACCACAATTAATGCCATGGAGACCTGGTCTATTTCCTGTTTGTGCTCTGCGTGCTTTACAATATAAACATATAAGGAATACACAAAATATCAACAGTGGAGGGCACAAAATCGCAAGTGCAAGTTGCCCAGGCGTTAATGATCCTTTAGTATTTGCATCATCCTTTGGACTGACGTTGTCTTCATGATCTCTTGGGATTTTGCCATTAGTAGGACTAGTCCTATTGCTATCAGTACTGTTAGTAATATTATTGCTTTGAGTACCATTAGCATTACTGCCGTGAGTACCATTACCATTACTAGTGCCGTGAGTACCATTTGCTGTCGAGGTACAGTTCTTATTGGACAACTCAGGAGGACAGCTTTTAGCACAACCAGAATTATTTCCATCCCTACAGCATTGACTGTATGTGATACAGGATGCTGTTGCATTAGCCCAATAAAATCCTTCTTTACATACCCCTGTGCAATGGATTTCATCCTTGCTTACATATTCCTGTGAAGATTTCTTTATCTTTGCATTGGGTACAATTTTTGCACTGGCTGAAATCATGTGTATTTGAGTACGTTGAACCAGATTTGCAAGGTTCGCATTTAACCTTTATTGATTCTGAGGAATGTATGTATCCAGGTTTGTGCTCAAAACTGAGACCAAAACCATGAGGACAATTGGGCACCTTCCAGCATATAACTGTTCCAGGTGCCGTCTGGATGGCAGCTTCATTGTCGGTACAAGAGTAGCTACTTTGAGGTCTTCCAAATGACATTGCCAGATAAGTTAAAACTACCTGAAACAACACCGTTATATAAACAACATATCATACTAATACCTCAGCTTATTGAATTTAGAAAATTTATTGACCATGCATAATCTGCAATACTAGGGCAAGTTTTGCTTTGATAGTTGACTGTTTTGAAATGAACTAGAGACAATTTAAAGACATAAGATGACCTGACAGCAGTGATAAAAGATACAAATGATTTCATTGATGGCTTAATAATAATAGTTAATGGCCATAATGAAAATTAAGTGTAAACTCAAGTCACAAGTCAAAAAAAAGCAAGCTTACTATCTAAAAGGACAGAGGACTTCACGTGAATTAGATAACATTATATAGCTGTAATCATTACTTAGAATAGTTAATAATATTATGCTTATAAATGTTACAGTGTGGCTACTGAAACCGGGGCCACCTAGAGAATGTAAAATAATCACAATTTCGATTGAAAACAAGCCTTAAAAAGCTAAAAAACTATGATCAGTGATATTGCAAAGAATTAAAGTTATTTTCAATCTAAATTGTGAAATTTTATATTCTCTAGGTGGCCCCGGTTTCAGAAGCCGCACTGTAATCTTAAAGTATATATGAAGACTCACCCTAATATGCACCACTGGAATCATACGCCTGATCATTCCCATATTTTATCTTATCTGTTTCAGGGATCTATAAATTGGTTTTACATAAGAAAATGAACAAGTCAAAGTTAACACTAGTTTATCGCTAGTTCCACCAAAGTTAATAAGATAGCTACGGTAAAAATAAGGGAATACCACGCACCCTTACGAAAGCCGCTTGCGAAATGGCATGGCCGGGTCGCAAAAAAGTGATGATCAGCAAAATTCCAGTCATTGCAAAAAATACGTCACGACCGCAGAGCCTTACTATATACAGGTCCTTCCAATATTTAATCCCTTTTCATCGTCGTTGGAGTTCTAGAGGTTATTAGCTTATTATCCGTCCACAAACCATGAAAAATGCCTTTAAAGTTTGCATTCCTACATAGGAAAATGTCTGATATTGGCAGAAAGTGAAAGTGGAACACATAACCTGAAGGTCCGCAGATATGCTAGACGTATATCACCGCAAAGCACTTTGGGAAGTAATAGACCACAGGCAGCCCGGCCTTAATTTTTTAATCCTTCAGTAAGTCAAGTAAGTAGGGGGAGAATTAATGATTTCTGCATTGTAAATACCGCATATTAAATGTCACACCGTAAAGTGTCTAGATAAATTTCCAGGAGTGCAGATTCACTGGACCGTGGCTGTGCCCAAACCAAGCACTCATCCCCTTTCAATACTAAATATTCTTTCAGTGTGATGACGTAGTGCTACTAATAACCGCATGATCAATGAATCCAAAATAAACAGATAGCAAAAATGAAGTGATTTTTATTAAATATATATTAAAATTCCTATTAAATTATAACTCTAAAATTATACACTATAGTACACTACAACTGTGAGGTCAATGTACCAATGAAATAAAAATTGTATATAATTATTTCATAAACCCGTGAAACAAAGTGTAATAATTAGAGTGCAATAGATCGTAATAGTCGCGTGGAGACAATAAAAAACAAAAGAGCCAAAGTGTAATAGCGATAAATACATGTACGCTAAAGTATGTTTCACGGGTTAATGAAAACCACTCTAACATAGTAGTTTCATTTTATAAAAGGAATGTGTACATCCTTTTGAAGCACATGGAGTGAAATAAATGGCACTTTCTATTTACCGTTATATATTAAAAATAAAGAGAAAAACCTATAGTCTCTCCATATTAGGCACGTCATAATTAAGTGTAAAGTGATTTAAAACTATTAAAAACTATTAGTGTGTATTAACATGTATTAACTTTTATTAGTCAAATATCTATTTCATGGGTACATTGACCTCACTCTATAAATATCGGAATAATTTTAATAGTGCATAAAAACAGAAAATTATAAATTATGTATAAGTTAGAAAATTCATATGCTAGAAATATTTAGATTATAGATGTGTGACATAAATATGATGAAAGGTCCTGCCATCCATTAATGCTGCTACTTATATTTCTTACATCTATTAAGAACTTTTAGTAATTTTCACACCTGATGTATTAAATATTGCAAGACGCCAGCATCTCACATAAATACAAAAAACTACTAAAAAGAAAGTATTCAAAACCATTCAAGCCAATGTGGCCACTATGTCATGAATTCCAATGTTTTCACTAAAAACACAGTTGGATTTTATGTAAAATGCAACAATAATGACAATTATTATGCTTGTTGAAAACATCACTTTCAGCCACCTAGCAGAAATGCAATTTGTATTCAAATATTCTGACGCGCAATAATGACTGGTAAATACTATCCCTCAAAACTTAACCAGCCGAATCTTGTCCATTTTCTTACAATTATATGCTTAAATGCTTCTGATTATGACAAAGCATGAACCAGTACTACTCATAAGTCTATACTTATTATAGATCATTTTTCAGTTGGCACCCCCTTAGCTACACAGGACTCTATACCTCTTTTCTATTTCTCTAACTTCTTGGAGGAAAAGCTCTAAATCTGTTTCCTTGTACTTTTGCATAATACACTCTGTAGGTGAAGATTCATGGAGTAGTTGATCAACTTCAGTGTTTTCCATACCAAGTGCTGTTCCCAATGTACGATAGTCTAAGTAGAAACTATTCCTTTGGTTTAGCTTTTGACATATCTCTTCCCTTTCCCAGCGAAGCATATCTTTGACTTTTGAACAAACATCCTTCAACTCAACTTTATTGTTAGCTCCCCCCTGACATACGGTTCCATTTTCTGCATTATAACTTTCATCCAAATTCATTGGAACTTCATACTCTGTCATTAAAAAGAAAAGAAAAGAAGAAAAATTATTTAAAGTTCTGACATTGTCACCAGGTAACCCTGTCAATAGGAAGCTTTACATTTCATGATAACTATTAAAAAGGCTAGTGACTGAGTATGACTTAAATGCTTACGACATGTGTGAAGCCCTTCTTCAAGGGGCTTATCTTCAACTTGTGGGCAAATATCCACCAATTCAACTTTATTGTTGTCATTTTCACCCTGACAAACAGTTTCATTTTCTGCATTACAACTTTCATCCAAGTTCATTGGAACAGGCCCTGTTATTAAAAAAAGGAAAACAATTACTTATAGAATAGGTTAGAAAGGAAGTGCTGGTGTTGATATCATGCACTAAAGTGCCACATTTAAATTGCATTGCTGATACTGACATCCAGTCCATATCAATTCTTTCATGTTTGAATTCATGATCACTAAAAAAACTTGCAAATACTAAAAAAGTTTCCTAATTTCAATCACAGCTATGATTAATTTTGCTTAGTACATTGTTCATAATTGAGACTTTCCCTGAACAATTTAAGATTTCAACTGAAGTAAAAAAATCTTGGTATAGTAGGATGTTTTTTAAGCCAATTGTCTACAACAAACTTCATTGGATATGATTACTGTCTTCCTATTAAATGTTTTAATTTATAATCAATCTGAAACTGAGTGTAACAAACATACCTTGGAGTGAATCCAATGCCTCAACTTCATCAATTTCAGAGCAGTTTAATTCAGTGGTTTCAACCGATGAAGCAAGGAGTTTAGCAAATGTATGCTTTGAAGCTATGTTATCTATATAGTAACAAAATAACAACAAATTATTAGAATATCAAAAACAATTAATTCAGTGAAAATAGAAATAGTCATAAACAAAACTTACCATTAAAATGAATGCCATGATGATTTGGTCTATTTCCTTGTTGTGTACTACGTACTTTACAATATAAACATACCAAAATAATAAGTAGAAACAGACAGCACAAAATCACAATTAGTGCAAGATTCCCAGGCGTTAATGATCCTTTAGTATTTGCATCATCCTTTGGACTGACGTTGTCTTCATGATCTCTTGGGATTTTGCCATTAGTAGGACTAGTGCTATTGGTCACAGTACTGTTAGTAATATTATCGCTTTGAGTACCATTAGCATTACTGCCGTGAGTACCATTAGCATTACTAGTGCTGTGAGTACCATTTGCTGTCAAGGTATTGTTCTTTCTGGACAACTGAGGAGGACAGCTATTATCACAACCAGAAATATTTCTGCACTCACTACATGGGATGCACGATGCTGTAGCAATTGACCAATAAAATTCTTCTTCACATTTCCCGGTGCAATGGATGTCATCCTTGTCAAGGCTACACTTTCCTGAGTAAATCTCATTCTTTTTGCACTGTGTACAGTTCTTACATTGGCTGAAGCCTTCTTCATCAGAATATGTCAATCCTGGTTGACAGCCCTCACAACCAGTGTTGATTGTTCCCCAATTGTATATCTTTCCAGGTATGAACTCAAATTTTAGACCATACTCAACAGGGCACTGCCTTAAGTCCCAGCATATAATTGTGCCTTCATTAGTCCTAAATGCAACTTGATCATTTTTACAATCATGAGTTGGTGAGCTTTGAGGTTTACTAAATGATAATGGCAGATGCAAATACAAAAGCACCTGAAATATTACAGGATAAAACAGAGATTAGTTTTAAATATTGGTTCTTTTAGGAAACATTTGGAAAATAAGCATGAGGTAGTATGATTTTTCCAAGAGGGGAAATATTCTGCTAAAACCCAATGGGAGACTCTGCAGGGTACATATTCTTTTTGTTTTGTCATTTTTCAGGGTTTAGGACGGTGCACTTTAAGGGGAAAGCACCTAGTAGGGGATGGGAAATACCCAAGCTGACATAGGAGAAAATTAAACTCCACAAGCTAGGAATCAAACCAGTCCTACATGGACAACAGATTAAATTACATTAAATACTCAATTTAACACTGCTTCTAATCACAATTTTACTCAAGCCAACTTCCCTTCCTTTCGCAACAATAAATATACCCAGTCAGCACTATTGCTAAATATTTGTTTTAATCTAAAAATTTCATAACAAATCATGACATTTCCTATACTCCAAAAAAGGAAAGACATCCTAGCAACTGCAAACTAAAAAATCCATGTAGTTTTTTTGAAGACATCCACGAGTTCAAAAGCTTAAGTTCTTATGTTACATAGAGCTAAGAAATAACTTATGCTTAACTAGCATAACGCACTTAATAACATTAATAACCAGCTTAAATGTGTGAAACATCCCCGCGATAAGTTATTGTCACGAAATGCAAATTGAAGAGATCATAAGTTACAAAACCAAATCAAAACAACTCACCACAACAGTTAGGATTTTCAGTTTGAATATTCCGTTCTTCGTCGTATAAACTTTGAAAGGTTTGAGCATTAGTTTTAGTGGCATCTTCGCTCTCATAACCTACATAAGTGAACAATGAACAAAAACAAGTCAGATTCAGTCGACCACTTCTAAGACAAAAGAATATTATACTTACAAAATCAGGAAATCGACAGAAAAGCATTAAGCTTTTATAGCTCTTTTTGGTTCCATTTTTGATGAGCTTGACGTTTTTACGCCAAGATCGTCACCGGCATCACATGATTAAGTCGTTTACATAAATTATTATGCAAACCAACTTCCGCTTGATATAATGCAGAATTTCCTGTCTCTTTTTGAAGTGCATCTTTCCTTGTTCCTTATTCATAATGATTCTGTTACTCATCGTTGTTCTCCAAATGACCTTGAGGGTCACCCCGGCCGGAAAACTCCGTTCTCGTTGGAGTTTTTTCTGCATCGTTTTCCGACAGCGCAACGCATGAAGATAGGAAACTTTGAACATTGCATTTCCGTGGTATTATTTTTGTCAGAGAAAGAAGGAAGGAAGAGGATTATTCTTCTGTACATCCGAGCCCCGATCTCCTCTTGTTGTCGACCATGTTGTTGTTCGTTGTTGTCAACTAAGTTACATTCGGTCCCAGATCCTCCACAGGGAGCCCAAGCAGTGACTTTGAACCTATAATGGTTAAAAATAAAATTTTACTTAAAAAAATGGTCTACTTTTATTTTATTCAGTGTCACAATGCATTATAGATGGGTTTAAAAAAATTTCCCCTCCATGTATATATATAGTGAGAAGGGAGGAGACTCCGCTCGAAATTCTCCCAAAAATGAGCCAAAAACGATCGACAAAAATCCTTTTTTCGCACCGAAATTAAATAAAAACGAAGTTTTATCTGAGACAGCATATGTAAATCAACGTTTTTTACCTTATTTTGGACGAGAGGCATCGATAGAAACTCTTTTCGGGCAAAAAAATCCAAAAAAGTGTCCCCAAAAATATCCCAAACCCATCCGTGTCGATGGTTGTCTGAGGCCACTTGCGCGCGCAAAATGAAAACTTGACAAATTTGGAGACTATGAGGGGGCCACTCGGGACAGTTTCACCTGTCACGGAGCACATCGCAACTCTGCTTCATCGGGTTCTTTTGAGTTTCTTACAGATAACTGCATACTTCAGATTACTATATTTGAAAATTTCAGAAGAGAAAACTTTCAAAATTATACTATGGACTTGTTTTTCGAAATTATGCGAACTGAACACTGAAAAAACCGAGCAGCTTTTTTCAAGAGCTTAACTATTTCATAGGTTAATTAACTATGTTATTTTTGTCAAAAAAACTTGATATTAAATGTCATCAGGTCTATTGAGATCGTTGAGTGTTAACTTTACGAAAAAAAAACTATTAACTAGTTTACTATTTTCGTCAAAAAACTTGAGATAAAGAGTCAGGTGAGATCGTCGAGTTTAAACTATGCGAAAACGRCGACAAATTGTAAGATTTCGAGTCTCGATAACTTAGAGATGTTAACCACATCTACATCTACATCTACGTTTATTGATCGACAACGCTTTCGCATCACTGTTCATATTTATATCAAACTAAAGCTAACAAATAGAAAAACGTACCATTTTTACCAAATATATGAGAGTTGCGATGTGCTCCTTGACAGGTGAAACTGTCCCGAGTGGCCCCCCCATAGTCTCCAAATTTGTCAAGTTTTCATTTTGCGCGCGCGAGTGGCCTCAGGCAACCATCGACACGGATGGATTTGGGATATTTTTGGGGACACTTTTTTGGATTTTTTTGCCCGAAAAGAGTTTCTATCGATGCCTCTCGTCCAAAATAAGGTAAAAAACGTTGATTTACATATGCTGTCTCAGATAAAACTTCGTTTTTATTTAATTTCGGTGCGAAAAAAGGATTTTTGTCGATCGTTTTTGGCTCATTTTTGGGAGAATTTCGAGCGGAGTCTCCTCCCTTGTCACTATATATATACATGGAGGGGAAATTTTTTTAAACCCATCTATAATGCATTGTGACACTGAATAAAATAAAAGTAGACCATTTTTTTAAGTAAAATTTTATTTTTAACCATTATAGGTTCAAAGTCACTGCTTGGGCTCCCTGTGGATCCTCTAGTTGAAACAGTTCGCCGCGAAGCACTTTGGGTAGTGCACTGTAGAAATAGACGTCGGGAAAGACCTCAAAAGTCTCCTAATATCGAAAAGATCAGCGTGTCAATCAGATATCAATGGATATTACATATAACAAACCCTATGAATCGGTTACGTGTATGGGAAAAATCGCTGCAAATGTAATATTCAGGGTAATTTTTTTTCTTTTCAGTGTTCAATTTAGTCACGTGGTTGTCGAATGCAAACCTATCGCAAAAGAGGAGCCAATTAAATGAATTCTTTCATAAGTATAGATCTAATCTAATGTAATTGCCAATTACTTAGGAAGTAGGTAAGATAACTGACTTGCTTAGGATAAACATGGATNAAATGAGGAAAGGACCACTCTGGTCGAGTCCTCAACATTCAAGAGGTTCCAAGAAAAATATTCGGTCCCAGATCCTCTCGCCGAGGGTCCTAATGTTTTCAAGTTTACTCGCGCATGCGTGCCATTGACAGTGTCCCTTTAATTAATGGGTATTTATATAAAAACCCTGTGAATCGCTTACGTGTATGGGAAAAATGGCTGCAAAGTCAGTATGTAAATATTCAGGGTTTTTTTAGCCACGTGGTTTTTAATGCAGACCTACCGCAAACAGAGGAGGCGATCGATTAGATGAAAGATAGTTATTCTCCATGACATGCCATGACCTTGAGGGTCACCCCGGCCGGAAAACTCCGTTCTCGTTGGAGTTTTTTCTGCATCGTTTTCCGACAGCGCAACGAATGAAGATTGAACATTGCATTTCCGTGGTATTATTTTTGTCAGAGAAAGAAGGAAGGAAGAGGATTATTCTTCTGTACATCCGAGCCCCGATCTCCTCTTGTTGTCGACCATGTTGTTCCTTGTTGTCAACTAAGTTACATTCGGTCCCAGATCCTCTAGTTGAAACAGTTCGCCGCGAAGCACTTTGGGTAGTGCACTGTAGAAATCGACGTCGGAAAAGACCTCAAAAGTCTCCTAATATCGAAACGATCAGCGTGTCAATCAGATATTAATGGATATTATATATAACAAACCCTATGAATCGGTTACGTGTATGGGAAAAATCGCTGCAAATGTAATATTCAGGGGTAATTTTTTTCTTTTCAGTGTTCAATTTAGTCACATGGTTGTCGAATGCAAACCTATCGCAAAAGAGGAGCCAATTAAATGAATTCCGAATAAGTATAGATCTAATCTAATGTAATTGCCAATTACTTAGGAAGTAGGTAAGATAACTGACTTGCTTAGGATGGATAAACATGGATTTTAAGTAACAATGCGTGCAAAAAGCAGGCAACCTTCTATTGTTCTGCGGCAATTGCAACTTCCCCACATACRAATRTMTTGGTTTTMACAMTGATTAWGTATCAACCTATGGGTAACACACTTTTAAAATAAAATGTGGATAAAMTCTGTTTTGAAACAAAGTTTCTTTTKTATTAAAAGATCTTGTCCAATCATAAGCACTCAAAACAATAGCCAAAAGATGCTTCTAATTTGCTATGTTCCCCACATAGAATTGCTATTAATATTAAAGCTAAGGAAAGCTTTTATGAAGTTAGAATCAGATATTAAATAAAATATTAAAAAATGCGATTACTTTTGAAATTATGTCAGATTTTAATGTTTTAACCAATGAGATGGCTGGATTATACAATACAAAATTAGCACCTTCATGCATTCCATTGCCGTTTGCTTGCCTGCTTCAGTCTTACTCGGACCATTACTTAATGTTTTTTAAGCTTCATTTGTTAAGCTTCATTTTTATATGCATAGCTCCAGTTCCCATATTGATCTTGGACAAGAATATTAACCATTGTGTTTTTTTGTGTAGTTTATGAGATTAATTAAAATACCGTAAAACAATTTATTTGAAAGATTGTAATCTCAGGGAACATGGAGTATCACAATACTATTGTGGTCACTAGAGACTTCAGTTTCAATTGCACGCTTTAAAAGACTTATCATACTTAACATTTAATGAATGAATTCTCGAACTTCTGAAAAGTTTTTCAKCATTTTCGGAGGGTGATAACATAAAAATAATAAATTATTAAAGATGTTTTCGTAGAGAGCTAGATACTATTTGACTAGATTCATTAAAAAAAGACATTTTGCGGAAGAACAKTCCATCAAAACGTTTTCTATTTGATGCTTATAGTGGTCAGAACCAAGATAATATCACTGAGACTACGCCGGAGTAGGTTGCGTACATTACTAATGTTATCATAACGTACCGAGCTATCTATTGTGTGGATATAGTTATTGTAAGACTGACAGTTAATATTCATGGTGGCGCGTCATAGGGGATCATGATTGGTGAATACCTCATTGTAACAATACTTATTAAAAATAGCCACCTTCTAGTCTGAAAATCTCTCTTTGAATAATTTATTACCAAACACTGAATATCACCGTTATCATCATTAAAAACGAGTCTGGATCGGATCAACGATTATTCAACTACAAAACCTTGAAACCAAGTAACTGAAAGATGACCAACATGGCTGCCGATGACAAGATTAATGTCAATGGAATCCGCATTTCGCTAGCTTTACTCGAATCTGAACCGAAAAACCAAAATAGCAAAGGACAATATCTAGCTGCTGGAATGGCACTTATCACGTTTGGTCTAATGCTTTGGACGATTCTTGGAGTAACTTGTGCAAATAGAATAGTGAACGCATATTACTTTAAAGAAACTCTTTGCCACGTTGTGGAACAGGATAGCTATATCATCAAGAATCAGACATGCCAATGTGTAGAGGTAACAGAGTGCCAGTCATATTACCCATGCATACAGTTGAAGACTGTGTTTCACACGATAAACGATAATAACAAGGTTATAACTAAACATGGAATATTGTACAATACAATCTATGACGTGAAGTCTGAGGTAGGATACATTACAGTAGCAAAAAATTGTATATCTTTGGTATCTATGTATTTCATTAMTGAAATTTGATTACTGTCAGACTAATAAGAAAACATCATTTCATGTGCGGTGAAAACACAAGTTATTTTCCATTTCTGTAGAGATTACTATACACTAGAATAATTTTGGTTAATTTTTACCGCGTGTACCTCTTCCTCGTGGGACTGCATCATCCCAACCCCTTCCCCGAAGAAATTCCTTGACCTGCTAATGAAACACACGGACACACAAATACCGCAGAAGGACGGGGCTATATAATGAGAATATCTCTAAACGTTTCAACTATCTACATGCTTCTTTCTTTACTAGCACTATATTGATGCAGCTTATATGTTTTCTATATTTTTAGTGTTCATATTCGCCGCGATGCTCTACAAAGCAACAAAGCAACGTCAGAGCTACACATTTGTTTCTTAGCAGTCTCCTAGGTAACAGGAACATCACCTGCTACTACAACCCCGCTGACCACAAAGAAGTCATCCTCAAACATGATAGTCACGTGATGGACTTGTTCCACGCCCTTCTGTGGCCGTTCATATTTGTTTTGTCTGGAGTTATGATGTTTTACAAGTATTGCAGGTCATTACAAAATAAAAAATACTAAATATAGATTTGTGGGTGTTACAATGGTGTTGTCTTGTCACTATGCCCAGCAATACAGCACAGCACAGCACAGCACAGTACCATTCGGCCATGCATTCATTCCATTTACGTCATGTCTATCTAAGTCTGTTGCTATGTTCGGTTCTATAAATTCTGTTAACGAGAATCCTGATACACAACAAAATATAAGTAATCTATAAATATCAAATAAATGTTTCTATTTCTACGTGTGGACAGATAGATGTATATGCGGATCGGAAAATAGCCCTGGCTTTTGATATTCTGGTTAAATGATCATGTACAGAAGACGAGTCGGGGGAACATTCCCTCTCTTCACATTTTTGGTGCGTAGTCAGTCAACCAAAAATAGAAACATGCAATTGGTTTGCGGGCTGAAAATTAAGCACGACTTTGTTCAGAATTGTTTTACAAGCACTTGAAAGATGTCTTGTATTTCTATTGTCTCACTAAGTTGTGTGCGTCATTTCAGGTATAGCCTGAACAATCGTCATTACTCAAATTTGTGAACTGAATATATTCCATAGCTTCTTTTCGTTCAGTTTTTTCCTGTTTTTTATTTGTAATTATGTATGCCAGCGCACCTGCACATTGATACCATATTGGCCCTACAGCCCGTAAACCTTGATCATACTTTTGATTAAAATCAATGAAGAGTGCCAACTCYGGCCCTGGAGCATGTTGCCGGGAATGAGGAGTTTGGCCCAGGGAGCATGCTGGGATACTAGCTTTTAGAACCATCATAAATGGAATAAAACCACCCTCAATTCAAAATATTCTCAATCCTTTTTTTAGTTCGCTATTTATTTTTGAAACAAGAAACCAGTAAGATGCATGAATACATCCTGACGATTAGTCAATCTTATCATATTTCGAAGATGAAGTCATCTTTTTCCGCTATTAAACCAAAAGGATTGAAGGAACATCAACGAAAATCTAGCTATAGCTTGAGAAAAAATACGTTGTTAATGATTTTACAAAAATACGGTATCCTGCTACACTAACTAACATTAAAAATAAGCTTTAACTGTCAATAAAATACTATAGGAATCGAACCCTTTTTATAGTATCCGATAAGTTTTGATATCTGTATAGTTTTTTAGCTCATTTATCGTTCTGAGGTGCCCTGTGGTCACATATATATGAAAATACTGTCTTTATGAATTAAAGTTCCGTATTATGAAGATAAGAAAATTAAAGCAGCATTTTAACTTGAAGTGCACTTCATATGGGCTATAGAGGCCGCTTTTCCAGTTCTAAGCACAGCATACAAGCCGCTCTATATCGATCGATTGTTGGCCGTTTGTATAATTCTCAGTTAATTCCATGCAAATTGCAGTATAGTTTATCTGGTTTGTTCTTTAACTGGTCTGGCTGACAAGACTTGCTGATTTGGCTGTAAGAACGGCTGTAATCCAGTCATTCCGTTCATCCTCAGTACGACATCTTAATAAAAGTGTTTCACTTTCAGCTTTTGCTTGAAGTCGTATTCCAAACGCTTTTGTGCGAATTCCAGTAAAATCTTCTAACATTAAAGAAACAACATCAAGTATTCGAACTTTCTTAAATGGTGACTCCRTATTYCCTTTCTTCTTCARGAACAGAATACCTTCCTCTGAAAGCACAAGGTAACGCTTTTTCCAGCGGCAAATTCTCGGTGCAAAACCATCTCTCATTTTCCACAAGTATCCTTCCTTGATGTGTGAAGCTGTGGAGTGATTGAAATCATCGTTCTGACCTAGAAAAGCTGCCTTGGATTYCATCGAAGATGAATTTGATCGCAACTTAATTCTAAATTTTGGCACAAAGGTTGAGAGTTTCATCGTTCGCGAYTTTTTTTCCTATTTGTAAWTKGACTATAAGGTCATTTTTGTGACATACCCGGTGCCTTCACAATKWAAAAGAGGCGATCTCTCAAATTTGACATTATTTCATCAAACCTCTAGCTAGCTTTTTAAATAGCAAAGACGGCAGATTGTACACCCACGCACTCATTAGTATTCATATTTGATGTCAAGACAAAAAAGAGAAACACCTTTTTTCTCCGGTTGTACAATCAAACAGAAAAATTCATATTTGCAAAAAAAAAATATAAAACGCTATTCTTTAGGAGCTCAAATTCAGAKTATCAATTCAAAGTATTATAAGTCGTGTTTTATGGAGTATTTTTGTTTCTCGTTTTATGCTGCCCAAGTCACCATACAAGTTGGCATTTTCAATGTAGATTATGATTGGTTGTTCAAAGGACATTACACAATAATTTATTTGAATGACACCCCACAACCCACGCAGTACTTGAGAAACACACGGAAATAACTAAGTGTCGATCAATCGATTTCGCAACGTCTTTTATTCATTTTCCTTCAATCGCTTCTTTTATTTTCATTATTTTTTCTTTCATTTATGTCAGTGATAAAATAAAAGATAATAATGCCGAGTGAGATGTAAGAAATTGAGCGATTGACAATGTGCAGTATGACGACTCTAAGTTAAAGCTCCTACAAATGGATCACCTGACTTACCAAACGAAAGGACATTAAGAACCAGACCTTTTCAGATATCCGAACCGATTTTTAACTTTCATCCATTTTTTAAGTGAAAATCTCTCTAAGTCAGTTGGTCAAAAATAAGGTCAGTCCACAAATGCGCAGCGTTAGAAATAGCGCTTCATATTCGCGGCTAATGGCGGGCTTAGTGCATTATACACTGGAAAAMATCGYACGCTTTAAAGGTTGTAAATTTGATGGAAATATGATGTAAGTGTCCAAAATTCTGTAAATTTGATGTAAATGATTTCCATCAAATTTACAACCTTTAAAGCGCGCGATTTTTTTCCAGTGATAGTAGTACATAAGCAAGGGGGTGGGTTATAAAATCAACACATCGTTTATTACCATTTAACTATAATTATCATTCAATTATTTCTATGTCTGAAAATATCATTTGTTCACAAAAATTGAAATAATTAATCTATCTACTCGACTATTCATTATATTTTCTCAAATAACATTAAATTATGATAAAGTTCATGGATTTGCACTATCTATATAAGGATATAGGGGTCCCCATCTATCGAATTTGCACCTGTCCTAGACTCCATTCATAGCCGTTAAAGTACCTTCTTTATTTGAATGTGAAATTGGTCACAACTCATCTTTTTATCATTTGGAAATAATACATCAGAATTCCTATTCTCGATCTATAAAATTGGTTTTCCCTCTTGGATAAATCCTGTTAAGGTTGTTAAAGATGCCATATGTACGGAGTCGCGACAGGTGCATACTAAAACCAAAAGAAAGCAGCTCGTACCCAATGGATTCTGGGGAAAATAAATGTTCAAATAGTTATGCAACCGAGATCTCTTATTTGCGCAATCGGCTTCCTAACCCACGAAAATTCCCCCGGATTGAAATACATCCTTATATTACCCTGGATTGAAAAGTGATGTCTCTATTTGACGATTTCGATAAAAATATTTGAATGAATTTGTAATTAATGAGCAAAGACAGCAGTTTGCGTCTGAATTGACTTAAAGAATTTTAGTTTGACAATCAACTAGCGTTGGAATGGGATTGGTGGCCCCATGCAATTATACGCGCCGGGTGAACGAATTGAATAAAAACTATAAGAAAATAAAGGCGGAAAGGATGAAAACGGCAAAGAAACAAGAAATGAGAAATTTGAGAATAAATAAAAAAGTCTCACAGAATAAAAATGATAGACGAACGAAATGTAAAATTGAATGAAAAAAAAAAAACAGGAAATGAATGAAAAGGAAACAATCATATTACCGAACAAACTGCCATCATACTATCCAACTAACTTAAAAATTAATGAGTTATCAGATGTGAATTCGAATAATTAATTCATGAGATATGAAATATTATAACGTCTATCAAATTAGAACACCTATATAAACCCATGACAAGAACCTTAGTCTTACAATTACGAAGGCAGACTGAGTATGAAAAGTTAGTTATATGACATTATATAGATCAYGTCTATCACTGTTGATGCTAGCATAAGTCGTTCTTTTAGATCCAAGTCCGACATCGTGTGAAGCTTTTCGATGTGATTTCGATGGTTTCCAGTGAAGTGGACGAAGGCCATTAAGTATCACAACAAGTAAACCGACAACATCARCAACGACAGCCAACCATAAGGTAACATACCCAGTCAGTGCGACTATCACAATCACTATCTTGAGCAACACTGACGCAACAATATTCTGCTTAATTACACGCAGGCTGAATCTTGCTAAAGTTATCAGTTCTGGGATCTTGGCAAGGTTATTGCTCATTAGCGCGACATCGGCTGCCTCTACTGCTAATGCAGTTCCGCCTGCACCCATTGCTATCCCGATATTCGCCGATGCTAAGGCTGGTCCATCGTTGACTCCATCCCCTACCATACCAACTATTAAATGACGTTCACTTGATTTTCTACAGCAAATACGTGATTGGCTGGTGTTATCRCGAACCAAACTTGTTTGTTTTTCTTTTATCCATTGAAGCTTGTCATGTGGTTTCATCTCAGACACACATTCGTCTAATGTAAGCTTAGACTTCACGGCCTGTGCTGTCCGTGTGTTATCACCAGTAATCATGGAGGTCTGGACACCAATTTTCCTTAGCCAATCTAGACTAACGCAAGTATTGGGTCGAATTTCATCGGCCAGAGCAATCATTAAGGATAATTTGTCATCAACACAGACAAAAACAACAGTCTTGCTCTCACTGGACCATAGCTGGTACGTACTGGACAAGTACTCGTTTAATGATGCACCACAATTGTCCAACATATCCTTATTGCCTACACGAACTCGTTTACCTTCAAGAAGCCCTGAAATTCCCTGACCCTCATACATCTCGAACTGTGTCACTTCAGGTAGGACTACCGTCTGGTTTTTCACCATCTCTGTTACACAACCAGAAAATTCGTTCACTATAGCGGCTGAAATTGGATGGACTGTCTTACTTTCCAGACCAGCGGCTAGTCGAAGAACGTCTCGTTCGTTTTTTCCATCAACACATTCCATATTAGTGACCTGGAACTTTCCTTCTGTTAAAGTCCCTGTTTTGTCAAAAGCTAAAACTTGCAGCTTGGACAAAGTTTCTAGAAATTCACCGCCTTTGACCAAAGCTCCCTTCCGCGCAGCCGCAGTAATGCTACAGACTACAGCAATAGGGGTGGCCATGACCAGAGCACAGGGGCAGGCGATGACTAACATAACCAAAGCTCTCTTTCCCCACTCACGGATGTCCTGTAAGTACGTCCCAACACCCGCTGCTCCTAAAATGGCTGGAATGATGACAAGAAGAGCGGCTACAAGTATAACTAATGGAGTGTAGAACTTTGCAAATCGGTTGATAATGGCTTCTGTCACTGTAGAGCTAGACTGGGCCTCTTGGACCAACTGAGCTACTTTAGATACAGTTGACGACGATGAGTCAGATGTGGTCTGTACTTCGATGTAGCCATTTTGATTTACAGTGCCGCTGAACACTTTGGACATAACAGTCTTCTCAACAGGTAGAGCTTCTCCTGTAATGGAACTCTCGTCTACGGCAGCGCGTCCTTTTGCGACAACACCATCAAGAGGTATAAGTTCTCCTGGTCTTAYTGCTATTAGGGAACCAATAGGAACATTCTCAATCGATACACTTTCCCCAGTCTCCGCCAACACTGCAATTTCTGGCCGTTTTAGCATAAGTTTTGAGATAGTCCGCTGAACACGAAACATGGAGAATTCCTGTAAGGCATCGGCAACAGCAAATACAAAGACAACTGTAGCTCCCTCAACCCACTCGCTGATTGYTATTGTTCCTATAATGGCAATTAACATTAAAATATTAATGTCTATCCTGCGGTTCTTGACAGCGTAGTAAGAATTTTTCAGAATAGGAATACCACCAAAGATAATCTCAGCAATAGCAACCCACTGGTGCCACGGCCTCTTATTTAAGAAAAGACCGCYGACCGCTGTCACGAGGAGCACCGCTTGCACCAATACATAAACCATAGTCAGTATTAGCATTCGAGGCAATTGCTCTTCGCTGTGATCACGTGAACCCATCTCCATGACAGTTGCTCCAAGATGAACTTTATTAAGACAGTCAACAAGTTCAGTTGGTGAGGTAGCTTCCGGGTCGTGACGTACATGGACAACTCGACCAATCACATTTACAGCCACGCTGTCTATTCCTTTTAGGGGTTTCAAGCATTCTTCAACCAGATTAGCTTCCATTGCACAACATATATTCTGTACTCGTAGTTTGGTGGTGTTTCGACGAGACAATAGTCCTTTTGCATTCTTTGGTAGTTTTGTTTGATTTTCCGTGGGCTCAATAAGGAGAGCTGTTTCTTCTTTTGAGCAAATTTCACCGTTCCTAAGCTTGKGCGCTATATTGTAACGAGTTCCTGCTTGTGATGAAGAACAATTGGTTTGTGGTGAACAGCAATCAAACGAGATTTCTTCAGTGCCTTTATCCTCACCGCAATGCTTAGGTTTTGGTGCGGTTGAAGAGAAGCAAGAGGGATTATTTTTAAGTGAGTCTTTTTGACTTGCATCAGTTGGGCAGCATGATTTAGGTTCTTTTGCATCAGTAATGGCTTTTTTGTTGCAACATCCTTGATCAATTTCTTCGTCATTTTTTGTTGAGCAGAATTTCTTTTTAGGTTGGACCAAATTAGCTTTCTCATCACAGCTCTTTAGCCCAGAATCACAACAATTKTCAGAAGTGAGTCCGTTATTTGAATCAGTTGGGCAACATGATTTGGGTTCTTTCGCATCAGCAACGGCTTTATCTTGTTTGTTGCAACATCCTTGAGCAATTTCTTCGTCATTTTTTGTTGAGCAGAATTTCTTTTTAGCTTCCTCATCACAGCTCTTTAGCCCAGAATCACAGCACTTGTCAGAAGTCTTGGAAGAGTGTTCGCGATCCTTGTTTTCTTCATCACAAGTATTAGTAGAACCAGTGCCTTCTTTGCAGCACTTTTCTTTGTGACAAGTATCGTTGATCGCAGGTTGTGCGCTCCTGGAGTCACATGTTTCGGTTGGCTTTTCTTGAGAACCATTTTGAGTGCAAGCAATATCATCACTGTAGACTTCAGGTTGAACGGTGCTCGTGTCTTTATCACAATTCTTTCGTCCACAGCACGACTCATTGGGGGTGTCATCGTTAACTAAAGGTGTATTGAACTCAACTTTACCGCTTTCAAGGACCTTCATTGATTCTTGATTGGTTTCTTGACCTTAGCAAAAGAGAAGATCATCGGTAAACTCCTTATTAAGACACAACATCTAGCTATTTCTTTTGTAATTACACCTGCACAACTTAGCCTAAAACTTGTTAACATTGAGTACATTTTATCGTCAGTGCAATGACGCGAAAAAAATATAGTCATACAGCTAAGAAAACCCCAAATTTGCATGAGAAATGATCTACCACTTACAAAGGAGCAGACAGAGTTCACAAGGAGTTTCAAAGTTGTTGATTGGCAGTTTAGTTCAATTTCATGGACTATATTTGTGCTGAAGATGGTTCAAAACTCAAAAGCGTTATTTATTTTACCTTTTATCAACAACAAGTTTCAAGTTAACAGTGGGAAGGGTGAGTAAGTATATTTTTGTCAGTCAGCTTTTAGAGCATCAAAACTTTAGACTTTAATCCATGATATTCAATCCAAGCAGTTTGGATTTTAATCTCAAAGTGAGTTCTAAAAGGGTATAAATATTTCAATGCCGGAWGATCGAAAATATGGCTTTTACCCTACCCYGGTGGGTCTTGTTTTTGCAAACTTTTTTTTTCACTTGGGGTTATGTTAACAAGTTGAGCCTAATTATTTGCTGCACACTGAATGGTTGCTTCTTTTTCAAGGAATCAACTAAATGTACTTTGAATACCAAGGTCACACATTAGGGGGAATCCCTACACTTGGTACAAAAAAAATCTTGTGCAGTGAAAATGCATGAAATTCAGTACTGTAAATCTTTAACTAACAGAAACTAGTAAGTAGCATTTACCATCAATCTTTTCCTGGCTGCTATCTTTTCCTGTAGCATTCATTTCTTTATAATACTTCTGACTGCTGTTCACCTTTGRCTCGCTCTCMTCATCACCATGGTAACAATCTACACAAACACAGCTTATCTGAGGAAGGTCATCGGGACAACACTCGCACTGGAACTCTTGGCACATCTGAATAAGAATTATACATAAGATAAGCTTTGAACCACACACCAACACAAAAACAATARCTCACTGATAACCTTGAAAATAATGTTGTCAACTGACATTAGGAATTTAGAGKGAGTTGCCTGTTTTGCACAAGCTTTGTAGAACTCTAAATAAATATCCATAACGCAAAAGAAAACAAGTGATGACATTTCCCTTATCTCAAGGCAACATCAGCACCACATGAAATGGAAARAGTCGATGCACAATTTCTATGTACAAGGGACTCTTGCAATCATGGCATATATGAAACAGAAACCAACAAAACATATTTTCATGATGAATAAAAAATGTATTGATAAATTATTCGAACCAACCCTGAAATGACAGGTGAGTTGATGAAAGAAACACCTGCACTTGATGTGCAAGAGCTTATTACATGTAATGCAAATGATTGCAAAATACTGTGAAACATTCAAAAGTCAACTTTTACATCATATTCAAGTGGCTCCTACAAATATATTATATCAATAAGTTTAATATTCAAGTGAACAATCCAAGCTTTTTTTCAGCTGACATCACCTCTATGGATATGAGGACTTGTAATAGTCTAGCTAAGTTGCCAAGTTTCAAGGTGTTCTGGCAAAAACAAGATACAAGGCCTGCTATTGTGTACAATATTTACTGAAACAAAATGTACTTTGCAACAATTTTGCAGCTTTKTAYAACACAACATTTTTGCWATTTTAATAGACCACTTTGACTATRAACTATTGTTATTTGAAAKATTTTTCTATTTCTTTMGTTTCTTTGTTATGAATCTTCATTGATGATTAAGGTCACAAGGTTTATTCCAAATGAAGTACAAAAAATAGTTTGCATTTTTGCAGAACAAAACAAATACTAATCTTAGGACTGTGGACCACCAAAGAACTGCTAATGTCTGAGATTAGTCAAGTGGAGAAAATACTATAAATTGAGTTAAGAATTTGCTTTGGTGAACTAAATAGATTATTTGAAACCACACGTTTACTTCCCTTTGAGAGATAAAGCATTATTTCCACCTAAAGACTGTAATATAGCATACAGTATCTCTTTATGTGTTTGCACAACAACTGATGTGCCGTCAAGTTGCAAATAAAATTTTTTGAACACTTCACACTTACTCTAGTTTGAGACAACTTTTTTCCAAMAAATATTCTTGAACTTCAATTMAAAATCTCCTCAGTTAAACAGCAATAAAAAGACACACATAAACCAAAGAATAATATTTAAAAGTGACGAAGTTGGCAACCAATGGGAACTAGTAGTCAATGTCATTCCAATGGGCAACYATCCAGTATTTGCATGAAATAACAATCAACCATGGAATGCATACACTGCTCTCTTTGTTTGAAAACTACAACCAATGAGAACCTGATTTGAAACTTTGGTATATTGATTACAAAGATTGCATGAAAGAGCTCTCAACAAGAATAAACAATAGTTTAAGGTCAGAGTAAAAGGGAGTGATTGTTGAGAAGGAAAACAAAGTCCTAGACAATAAGAACAAGGTTAACTTAGTGAGTGATGGTCACTCATGTTAGTCTTGGACTATGAGCCTATTTATTACATAATATATAATATATTTATGTCATTATATAATACTGTAATATGTATCTTCTGCAATCAATAACTCACGCTGCGGTTTAGCTTTTAACAGTTTTTAACCCTATAAAAATGTAAATATTATGTATATTGTCCATGCAGTGACTGGGGGCAAGTCAGTGTGTATGTTCAGACAACAAATTGTGTTAGTAAATTATTATATTAGCAGTCTTATGACAAGGAAAGCTTAACTTTATTGAATTGTTCCTTCCACTCATTTAAATAAGCAGTTTTTTATCTTTCACTAGAGTTAATAAAAATTGGGAAATAATATATAACTAGACGCTCTTGGAGTGTGAAGTCGGACTAGCTGCTTTTGAAAATTGAGAMAGACAGGATATTACATGGATAAAAATATTTCTTAATTTTTTTCCAAAATAGCCAAACTCACGGTCTAATAATAAGGTCTAATAAGAAAACCCATTTTGTGTAGAAGCTGTCTGTTTGAAGCACAATCTTCATTTAAATTCACGTCAAATAACTTATTTAAAGAGCGGCCAGCGAGTCAGGAATTTAACAAATAGATCTCATTTTTCCGTGTGTGTGTACTCTAATAGATACACAGATGACATCAAAATGTAGTGAGAACAAAAAAGTACGCACGAGACGCAGTCGAGTGYGTGACTGTTGTTCTCACTACATTTTGCCGTCATCTGTGTATCTATTAGAGTACACACACACAGAAAAATGAGATCTATCTGTTTTATACAACAAACAATTAGTTTTGACGTAATCCGTGTATCTATACTTTGATAAACACACAAAAGCCAACCAATCAAAACGTCTGATTTTACTGAAAAGTTGTATAAACGGTAATAACGCATATCTACGCATATCAATTTTTCAGTGTAGATCGATTGCAGATTAACCCCCCACCCCCTCGGAGTTTCCGAAATCCTCCGTGGTGGGGTTATGGATATTTTCTGGAACTACACATGTGGCTAAGTGATATCATGATATCTACGTTGACCTCTCAGGCCAARAAAATAAATACTTTACAAGGAAAAAGATGCCTATAAAATCATTAAATTCGAATTTTGTTATCGATAAACAAAGTTTCTTCTTGTTCTAATTTGAAATCTTTGCCCACACAAGACTGTCTAACACTAGAAAGGTCATTTATTCAGATTCCWAAGCATACAACTCGAAGCTCCATGCGATCTGCTCATGCACGTACTATTGATGCCTAGACAGATGCATTCCGATGAGACCCAATAGTTAATTATTAAATTCTTAACTTCCGGTGGTCCAAACGTGACATGACACATAGATAGATAGATTGGCTAAAAGGTAAAACTCAAGTCGACCTAGCCTTCGKCTAGTCCGGCTAATTATTAATTTAAAAGTCACTTTTAAAGCATAATTACACCTGGATGTTATATTGTAGCACAAATCTTTCACTTGAAACATTGCATGTAATCACAGTACATGTCACGTAATCCTTAGTTGAAAGATTAATATACTCTGACTTGATGTTGAAATAAAGATTTTCTCATCATTGAAATAACAATATGAAGACAGATATATTAGTATTAAACGACAACCATCTGTAAAGAAATCCTTCTAATACAAGCATTAATAACTTGTACAAGAAGTACCATTAAATGTGCCATGACGTGGCAAAATATATTTTTACTGGAAAACTGATGTGAGCTTGAGTTATCATATAGAAAACTACGATGGCATAATTTACATAAATATATAGGGCCTCTGGTGGCATATGTTATGAAAGAAATTATCAGCCGAGACATATCTTATTGAATGTTGCTGAACACGTGGATTATCTTAAAAAATCCCGGTGCAAGAAACGATCGAGATTTCTTTTGGTATTCAAACAATACCGATAATAAACTTTCATGAAAGACATCGATTACAGATTTCTAGTTCATTGAGGAGGGAAGCTGACCGAAACGGGCAATTTTATGAGAGATTCAGTACAAGTTTAAAATAGCAATTTCAAAGTCGAAGTTTCGAAGGGATTTCCTAACCGAAACAAAGTTAAGATTTCTGGATATTTTTTTAAGCTTACATTTAGATCTAATTTTCAAGGCATGATGTTTTTAAATTCTGTTTTCGTTGGCAAAAGGGGATTAGATGCATTTTAAGACCTTATAAATATTCCTTACCACAGCCTTGATGCACTGATGTATCTCTAACTAAAGCAACACGAAGTTACTAAAATGTTACGACACATTTAACAGAGGTCACGAGGACAACAGGAAAGAAAGCAAGCTGTATTTTCTGTCATCACATAAAGCGACAKGTCATGTCSGCCATTGCTTCAYTGAAATGAAATGACACGCGGGATTRCCCGCGGGATAAAACATCATTGCGTCACATTCCATAAAAGGGTGTCTYACCGGAAGTGAAACTGTGATCAACGTCACGTGATGACCGCGTCACATATGATATGTGTTATGTGTCAGAAGGAGGATTTCATAAAGTAGGCCCATTTTTTGGTCTTTTTTCTCGTGGATTTCGGTTCAATTCATCTCAGCTGTTGTATTGGAAGTGTTCACACATTAACAATGTCTCTAGAGGATCCATTTTTTGTCGTCAAAGAGTAAGTTTTAAATCATTACTTACTGAATTTATTTCATGTTTATTTTTCTGTTTATCATAAATCGTGTCGTTTTTCATTGCTAATAAACTCCTTGAGCAATAAATCAATCGTTCGTTTTGAAGTATATCTTATTTATCTAAGCATCTTCAAGAAAATCGTATTTCTGTTATGTAAATCTGTTTGTGAAACTGTCAAAATTATGCGCTTGTATTCCTGAAAGAACTAACTCTAAGATCAAGAATTTCTGACAGTCCTACAAGACGATCTTGTCTACAACCCATGCTACTGATCATACTGAGTGCCAGAATAGAACAATCATTCTTTGTAGTTATCAGACTTTGATTCAAATGGATCGTACTAGCAAATTATTGGGGGGGAAATAGAGAATATTTCGAAAGATGATACAGGAATGAAGTGAACTAATTTTCTCACTGAAAAAACTCTTATTGATAAAAATAAGATGACTTTGTTAAGACTATACAATTATGGATTTACTATTAGCTGATTTTTTACGTTAATTTTCTTCCTGTTCTTAATGTATCATTACCAGAAAACACTCACTTTTAGTATCTCATCAACATCATTCATGTCATCTTTATCATTTGTAAAAATAAAAAAGTGACTCAGCCACGAAATATAAGTAGACATTTAAAGTGTTTTTAAATTTTGCTATCCCTGTTTATGTTTATTTTTTATTGATAGTATATGTACTACATTATACCTCAAGAATTTATGGGATTACTYAGTAAGCCTACCACAAATATGTTTTGCATATTTTACCACGGCCACGCTTAGCATTGGCAAGATGTGTCAGCTGATTKCAATGGCCATACTTATGTCCATATATTTCAATTTCCTTGCAGGGAGGTTCAAAAAGCAGTCAATAAAGTCAGAACATTATACTCTAGATGGCAAGAACTACTAAATGACCCACTAAAAGCTGGCGGCGATGAATATAACTGGACAACAAATGAACTTAAAAACAATATTCGAAGTATAGAGTGGGATCTCGAGGATCTTGACGAAACTATTGGAATAGTTGAAGCAAATCCTAGAAAATTTAATATGGATATGTCTGAACTTAGTAAAAGAAAACTATTTGTTAGGCAAACTAGAGATGATATAAATTCCATCAAAGAACATTTAAATAGCCCTCAAGCTGTAACAAGAGTGGAAAATTCAACAAGACAGGTATAGTATAGTTAGGGAAGCAAGGGTGGTGGAGTGGTGAGAGTACTGGCCTKTCACCGCTGTGGTCTCGGGTTCGATTCTGACTTGGGATCATATGTGGCTTGAGTTTGTTTCCGTTCTCTCCCTAATTGCTTTGAGGATATGTTCTCCGAGTTCTCCAGTTTTTCCTCCCTCAGCAACAATAGAACATTTTGATCCTAGCTGTGCTCCGTGATCAGATATGGGTCGGTTGGTTGGCTGCTTTGTGTGTGTGTTGTAACTTTGTGATTGTCCTCATRATGATAGTGCCCTTGTATACCGCATAACAGACTCAATCGCGTTAGCTGCATCGTTCGTAATTCAGCACTCAGGCTGTGAGGAAGAGCTATTAGCTATCACCAATTATTATTATTATTATACTACCTGTTCAAAGAATGTTGTGTAACCCCAATGGGTCTGGTTATGCTTTTAGAAATAATTTTCTTCTAATTWTGACTTTTACAGGCTTTACTTGGTAAGAGAAATGGTAAGCCGCAAGATAAATATTCAAGACTTGACAGGGAAATTGAACGGTCTAACCAAGCATTCATAGACGATCAGCAGCAACAACAATCAGTAAGTTGACAAGAACTGTTAAAGAGAAGTCCTTTCCTTCYCAYTGTGGTCACTCTAGTTTGTATGTGRTGACAATGGAAGCAGTTATGAAGGAATCTAACCTTATATCAATACTTACCTGGCCTTTCTATTTAATAGGAACTCTGTGTCTTACCCAACTTAGTCAAATAGTAATGGAGGTCCTTTTTCATCCCTTCAGTGCATGTAGAGAGATGGGACCTCCAGTTTTATGTTCTTTCAGAGAAAACAAAGTACATGTACTGATAGTGTRTAGTGTTTTGCCTTGAAGGAYACAAAATGCTAGACAATCACTTATCTAGATATTATTATATTATTACTCACTGGCTATACAAATGGCCTCTTAAATATCGCACTACATTACTTGCAAATAACAAATTTCTAGTTCAATATTGATGTGCTGTGTTTCTTGTGTAGCTTTTAATGCAGTCACAGGATGACCAACTAGAACTAGTGGGTCATAGTGTCGGTGTCTTGAAAAACATGGGAAAAAGAATCGGAGATGAAATTGAAGAGCAAAATGTGTAAGTTGAGTGAGACAGAAGATCTGTTAACAACATGTAATAAAAGATTTAACAAATCGAGATCGCTTTTCTATGGTCTGTACGCTTATCGACAATGAAAATGACGTCAGAAAATGATCAAAACTCAAGTGGAACCACGAGCGTAGCGGGTGGTTTCACTGCCAAGTTTTGATCATTTTCTGGCGTCATTTTCATTGTCGATAAGCGTACAGACCATAGAAAAGCGATTTCGATTTGTTTTTGTTTACAATAACAAGGCCGAAAACAAAGTTAAACTTTCAAAACAAAGTCGTTTCTGGCGCGCGCCGGCTCCGTGCACGAGCGATTCGTCATTTCATCGGTCTGTCCTACGATCGACAACGGCTCTCGACCAATCAGCGCGCGAGAATTCTACAAGTTATGGTAAAAAAATAAATTCTTGAGGTATTTTCAATATTGACATTTATTTTTCTTGTAATTTTGTAGCATCCTTGATGACTTTGGCCATGAGTTAGAAATGACCGACTCAAAACTAAACCAAACTGTACTTAAAATAGAAAAGGTTCTTAGACTCTCAGATGGTAAGTTAAATATATGATAAACAGAATATTACCTGGTCGCTTGGAGATACGAATTTTATCTTCTTGTGTTGAAAATCTCTCACTTGTTTGCTACGCTCACTCGCGGTGAGAGACACTCAAAGATAAAATCCATATCCCTGCGTGCCCATGTAATATCCTCTATTTATTCTCAGTAATATACATTGTATTATGATGTTTTTGTTCTTATTTTGTCAGCAAATTTCTTATGTATTTTTATTCTTTTTTGCAGATAAACGTCAGTGTTATGTTCTCATTGCGTTAATTGTTATCATGGTTATATTAATTCTATTATTTATATATGCTTAAAGTATATTATCACTCTGTACCTCGGCATGTAAATGCAATATAGAAATCATAGATTCTTTAGAATCACATCAAGTTATATGTAAGTCATCAAGAAACAAATGTTTTGGTTCAGTCCACAAAATGAAATTTCACTTCTCATTTTGTAAGGACATATTTTACCATGAAATCAGAGAGTTTGTTTTTCCATTCTACTAAGATGGAGTATCTCTGGCTGCATRGTAATAGATTTTGCATAGGGCATAAAGACAAAGGGTAAATAGAATAACCTCAAAAAGTTCAAAACATTAAATAGTGCAAAATGTTGCAAGTGTTTGTACTCTATTTAGTGGTGTATAAACTATGTATATACATATATAATCATRGTCAATAAACAGAACAGGAAATTTTTGAAACTACAAGTGAGAAAGTATATTTTATCAATAGAGAGAGGGCATGTACTTGATGAAAAAAACAAATAGTAACATTTTACTGCTAAATATTCTTGACCAGACACTATGGAACAAGTTCAGGAATAAGGGTG